TTTATGCTGCACAGTAAGTATCCCTAATAAGACTTCTTTTACAATAATATAATTTGTTCCTCCTCGTATTTTCAGTCTCTCAATACATCGTGATCTATATTAGTGACTTTCATATCTTTATGAATAGATGACAAAATAATTCCTAGCAGTAAAACCAGAATAGTGTTAAATATCTAATTTCTTTTTGAAATGAAAAGTAACAAGGCAACTTTTAAAAAATCAATATATAATGTAATATTTTAGATGTTATATTTCTTTTTTAATTGGAAAAATGCAATGAAATGTGTGACATTGACTCAACAGACCCTGAAGACAATGGCATAATGTTTCTGAATATGGCACATCTGCAGATCTACCTTTCATAACTGGATGATGGCTTTTTCCTAGCATCAAGGGTTTTCTTTGTCAGAACAGTTTTATAGTTTGTTTGTTTGTTTAGGGGTAGCAATAATTTGAGGAAGGAGGGTGTGACAGTTCTGTATCTTACTGGAGTTAATTCAGGCTAATAAGGAAGGTTTGGCTGCTGTGCATCCCTGGTCAATCCTGGTTTTAGATTTGAAGAAAGTCAGGGAGGGATGATCAAGCACTGATTCCTTAATAACATATTTCTGAATATTTGATATTGAGCACAACATGAGCTAAAGAACAACTTTATTTTATAAACGTCCCTCTACATTTCTTAAGCTCCTTTCTAACCCTTTTCCATGTTTCACTCTCGCACAGTTTAGATTCTGACCTAGTTCAATCTGTTTCAGAACAATAATCATTCCCTGTAAACTACTTCATTAATGTTATATAGATCCTTTCCATAACATTTGTTTAGCTTTCTTTGGTCCAAAAAAATTAAAAATAAAAATCAATTATATAAATTACTCATTTTCCTTCAATAAACTACTATGATCAAAACTATTGAAAATTTAGAAAAAGGAGGAGGGAGAATCTAACCTCAGAATGAAATCAGCAAAGCTTCAGTTATATTTCCCACACCATCTCTCTGAACTGATACAAAAATAATACACAGTAAATTTCCAATTACCTATCTGTCCATTCTATAATTCACATCTGCAGACTTCTCAGCTCTCTGCCTTCCTTTGTTGTATATGGATAAAATCCCTCATTGTTTCCACTTACCCAGTCTATTGACAAGTAGGACAGGCTAAGATGCAAAGTGTAAAATAAAGAACATTTATATAATCATAAAACCAAAACCTCCCTTGAGATTGAATCTCTCTAGCAATTAGACAACATGTGGTAACTCTTTTCCAGCTATTATGATTCCTCCCCCATCCCCCACTTTTATCAAAAGGCAAGTGAATTACAGTACAGTAAAATTGTAAAGTAATTACAATTACCTGAAAGAACAGGTTAGGGATAGCTCATCATGGAGAAAATGAATGTGGTCACTAGGAGTCGAAAATGACTTGATGGCATATGATCAATCAATCAATCAATTCTTTTTATTATTTATACAATTAAATTAACGTTGAAGTGCCTAACAGAGGAAAATAAATAAAGAAAAAAGAAACCTGCAAAATGATTATGGGATGCAGGGTTAGCTAATGAAGTCCAAGGATATACATAAAAATGGAACAATTCTAAAATGGTCTAAACATCATTGATTTATACCTATGATTCAGGAGCAGTTAAAATAGGCAGTTGTGCCAATTAAGGAAAGATGTTGGCAAAGTAAGGATCTGGGTAGTTTAGCTTGATCCACTGGATAATTAGTTTTCCAGGATATAAGATTGATGGTCAAATGTGATTCAGCCTATTGTAGAGCTATATGAAATCTCACACACATCCAGAGGAGGCAGTTGGAGTGGGGACATAATACCAGAAGTTAAAATCATCCATTTATCACAGGTCCTTGTTCTGTTCTTTGTAGATTCACAGTCACCACTTGACTATTTCAGATACAGCAAAGCATTTGAGCAGTGTTTGAGTGTCACGTGAAAGGGTTTTGCCTCAAATCTATGCTTATGGAGGAGATGGGATTGAATTTGTCATGGCAAGTATTGATTTAGACTTGCTGATGTAAGGTTTGCCCCGTTCGACAGAGAAACTCTCGTGACACGTGTGGTTCACAAAGAA